TCTGCATCTCATTTGGCAAACTGAGGGCCAGGGATAACTATAATACTCCCCAGACCATTCAGATGCTGAGCTCAGAACTGAGGTTCCCATAGTGCTATGTGAAACTCTTCAGAGCTTCCCTTCACCCCAAAATATGACAGGCCGTGAGAACAACATACTAATTTCCTGGTTGGTACAAGCCTTTTTACAGAAATCCAGAATGAGCTTTCGACAAAGTTCCCAAGTCACAAAGGAACCAGATAATCCTTGAGATCAAGGATTTCAACGGGGTTATTAGGGAGAGAGCAGGAGAGTATATTGTAAAATGCCACCACCATATTTTCATATTGCATACGATCTATACCCTGGATGGCATGTTTAGAGCGTACATAGAAAAGATGTGTGCAGGTAGCACCCCCTATTGGTATACTATGTGGTTTGGTACATCGAACTGTTACTTGAGGTCTATGAAATTGTTAAGTGGTCAGAAATGGGGAAAGCCATTCCATAATAGCATCCTCTAAAGAGAAGTTTCAGGAGATATCTATCATCTGCTAAACTTGGAGCCAAAGCAAAGCAGCTCCTCTTTTCTTCCTCGATAGCATGTTTTTTTGTTGTTGTTGCATTTCCCACAGATTAAGGTAATTTTTGGAAAACAAGTCAAACCACTGATGAAAAAATACAACCAGGAGCACATTAGGCCTTATGTGGCTCTCTCTCCTTGACAAAACTGTCCTTTGATAAAGAAGTTAAGAGTCACACTAGACGATCTTTAATATATCTGGCCTAAAGCAAGGCTTTGTCTATGTGCCATGTTCCTGGAACTAGAAAGAATTGATGTGCTGCAATATCAGGTCTCGGTGGCTAAACTTAGGTTGAAATTCGCTTCTAATGCAACTATTTTTATTGGAGACAACTTTGGCAGAGCTTGGGTGCTAGGAGGCAACGTGCAGGGCCTTAGGAGCTGGAAGTAGCAGGTCGAGGGAATAGCCGCTTCCACAGGGGGTGCACTTGGTAGGGGTAGGTGTTAAGGACTAGAGTAGAAGACACCTCACTTGGTGCAAGTCTAATGGGGGGGTGGTTCTGCATCTTTCCTTAGCAAGTTTAAAGTAGATTGATTCTAGATGACTCTAAGAAGGTTTGTATAGGTTGTCTGGCTGGAAACCTCCATGCAGAGCCCAAGTCTTAGGCTGAATGGAGATGGAGGGAGAGCTGGTCCCGCGGCCTTCCTTTAGCAGAGCTCAAGGGCTTTTTTTTGCTGAGCTGCAGCTCCTGCGACTATTACCCTTCAAACACCACCCAGGCATCCTCAGCGACCCCACCCTCCTCCCCAGCCTGTGTGGTGCGGCTGTTGTCTACCAGCAGCCTTTACTTCTCATCCTCGTCCACCTCACTCAGGCTGCTGATGGAGGCTGAGGCCGCTTTGGGTGAGGAAGGGGGTGAGGTTTTGATTGGGAGCCATGCGAAGGTGGGCGACGGGGAGCGGGAAGGGGACCGGCTCCTGGTGGGGCTGCTCATAGGGCTCTGCTTCGGGGACAAGGCCTGCAGCATTCGGCTACTCCTCTCCTGGAACATCTGCTTCTAGAGAGAAATTTGAGAGAAGGTATCTGTTAGTGAGCATCTGAGATGGCAGTGAAACAGAAAGGAAAGGCAAGGAGAGCTACCACCCCCCACCCCCCAAACACCTATGCCCACAAACACAGACTTGTACTTCAGCCTACATTGTCCAAGATTCTCTGGGGAGGAGCCGAGTGACACTGAGGCACAGTGAGTTGCTGACACACAAGAGTGCCATCACTGCTGGTTCCCGGCACTCTTGATGCCTTCTTTTCCTCCACCTACAAAATTTGAGTGTCTATTATTGGCCAGGCAAATAGTTGTCCTAAGTACCGGAAGGGTAGCAGGAAATAAATCAAGAATCCTGTCCTCACGGATGTAAAGAGGAATCACACAATAAACAAAATGAACAATACGTGGTATGTCAGATGGAACTACAGTCTGTGAAAAAGATAGAATGAGAGGATAGCAAATAAAGAGGGGTGTGGGCTGGGGGACAAGTGGGTGCAATTATAAATAGGGTAGTCGGAGAAGGCCTCCCTGAGAAGGTGCTATTTGAGCAAAGACCTGAAAGAGATGAGGGAGGGGACTACATGAATGGAAATTAGGGGGAAGCACATTCCAGATAGAACCCCAAGGGAGTATGCAGTTCACATTCGAGGAGCGAGGACACAGTGGCTAGAGTGAAGTCATCTACGTGAGGAGGGGCTTATGGGGGGGCGTGGTTAGAAGGAGGTCACCAGAAGAGTAAAAAAAGGACTGCGTCATGTAGGATCTTGGTGGCCATGTGAGAATTTTGGCCTACACTCTGCAGAGGTCTTTTACCTCTGGAGTTCTAAGCAAAAGGGGGACAAACTGACTTTTGGTTTAAAAGGACCAGTCAGGCTGCTGTGCTACAAATAGACTACAGCCAAGTGAGGACAGGAGCAGTGAGGACAGCAGAGAGGCCACTGCAATAAGAATCCAAGACCATGATGGTGCCCCGGACCAGGGTGATGGCCAAGAGGATGGTGAGAAATGGTTAGAGTATGTTTTTTTTCCCCCGTAGTTGTTGTTAAGATATAATTTACTTAAAACTAAAAAGAGCGTTTTTAGTTTTAAGTAATAAAACTAATAAATGCTGACAGCTGTGTGATTACTGCCACGATCAAATTATTGGAATGTTCTAGCAGCCACCCAATTCCCTTAGGACCCTTCCTAGTCACCCCTGTACCCCCTGCCTTAGCCTCTGGCAACAGATCTGATTTCTGTCTCTACAGTTTTGGCTTCTCCAGAATGTCATCTAACTAGAATCATGCAGTATGGGGTTTGTCTACATTTTGAGGGCAGAGCCAACAGGACTCACTGACAGATGGGATGTGGGATGTGGGATGTGGGAGAAGGAAGAGGAATGGACTGATTCCAGTTTCTGGCCTGTGAAACTGGAGAGCAGGCAATGACATTTGCTGGTGCAGGGGACTGTGCAGGTGTAAGAGGTTTGAGTGGTAAGATAGATCTTCTAGTCTGAGACTTCAGGTGACTGTTGCTTGGTGCTTTCAGGATCAAACCTTTCCCTGACACTGCCCTTCGTCTTCTGGGGAGCCTGGTCCTGGCCCTGAGCCCCTGGGCACCAGCCTCCTATTGCTGCCAAGCAATCTGACCTTCTGCTCTTTGCCTGTGGCACAACCCCCGCCCCACCCCCCGCCCCCCGACTCCATTCCGTCCATTTCTGAACGCCCTGCCCAGTCTGCCTGAGCCCTCTGCCCTCTGTTTCTTTCCATTGCTCATCACTGAGACTCAGTCCCTAGCAGCTCTGTCCAATCTTTTGATCCTAAACTGATCCTGAGAGCCAATTCTCCTATTAGTCATTTTAGACTTTGCCCGTTGTTTGAATTATTCATTTTACAAAGCACTGAGCTCCCTGGGGACCAGATGCTGTACAGGAGGTGGTCATGTCAAAGCTGGGGCTTCAGTGAAACATGGGAAAAGGGGGTTAGGTGGGGAGGGAGCCCATGAGCTGGTGGAGGGCTCGGTGTCCAAGTAGAGGGAGCTAAGTAGAGGGTACTCGGTATGACTGCTCGGTGTGACCAGAAGCCCAAGTGTCTGTTGGGTGGCAGTAGCCTGAGGCTAGCGCACCAGAAGGAGGCTGGATTTTTTTCCTCTAAAAGCCCCTGGAAGATTTTAATTAAGGAAGAAGTATGATCAGATTGGTGTTTTAGAAATATCTTTGTGTGTAAGCATAAAAGCAAGGAAAAAAACCATAGAAGAAAAATATTGATGTCTGGCTATATAAACACTTTTGTATCTCAAAAAAGCCACCATGAAATAGGTAAAAAAAAATTTTTTTTGCAACATTTAACTATAAATTATGGGTCTTAGTATAAAACAAAACTTAAAAATCAAAAAGTAAAAACCTTCATAGAAAAGTGAGCATATGGCATATACAGGCAATTAACAGGACAAAAACGAACCATAAAAAATGTTCAGTATTACTAGTAATCAAACAAATGCAAAATGACTGAAGTGAGATTTTAATATATCTGATTTGTTAAAGATTTTGACATCTTCCCAATTTAAATTTTTTCCCAGTTTTATTGAGATATGGTTGACATATAGCACTTTATAACTTTAAGGTCTACAGCATAATGATTTTACTTACATATATTATGAAATGATTACCATAAGTTTTATATCCATCATCTCATATACATACCAAAATAGAAAAAAATTTCCTTGTGAGAACTCTTAGTATTTACTCTTAACTTTCATATATACCACACAGCAGTGTTAACGACAGTCCTCGGTTGCACATTACATCCTCAGGACTTATAACTGGAATTTTATACCGGTTAGCCACCTTCATCCAACTTCCCCCGCCCCCCACACCCTGCCTCTTAAAACCACAAATCTGATCTCTTTATCCATGAGATTTTTTTTTTCAGATTTCACATAAGTGAGATCATATAGTATATCTTTCCCTGTCTGACTTATTTCATTTAGCATGATTCCCTCAAGATCCATCCATGTGGTTCACAAGTGGCAAGACTCCTTTTTTATGGCTGAGCAGTATTCCACTGTGTATATGTACATCTATATATACACACACATATGTATATATCACACCACCTTTATCCATGAATAGAAACAGGTGGTTTCCAAGTCTTGGCTATTGTAAATAATGCCACTACGAACATGGGGGTGCAGATATCTGTTTGAGATAATGATTTTGATTCCTTTGGATATATTCCCAGAAGCAGAATTGCTGAATCATATGGTAGTTCTATTTTTAACTTTTTGAGGAACCTCCATACTGTTCTCTATAGTGGCTGCACCAGTTTACAATCCCGCCAACAGTACATGAGGTTCCCTGTTCACATCCTCACCAGCATTTATCTCTTGTCTTTTTGATGACAGCAATTCTAACAGGGTGAGGTGATATCTCATTACGGTTTTGATTTGCATTTCCCTGTTGCTTAGTGATGTTGAGTATCTTTTCATGTACCTATAGGCTATTTGTAGATCATCTTTGAAAAAATGTGTATTCGGTCCCATTTTTAAACTGCGTTGAGGATTTTTTTTGCTATTGAGTTGTATGAGTTTACATATTTTGGACATTAACCCTTTATTAGATGCATGGTTTGCAAGTATTTGTCCCATTCTGTAGGTTCTTTTCATGTTGTTGATTTGTTTCTTTTCCTGTGCCAAAGCTTTTTATATTTGATGTTGTCTTACCTGTTATTTTGTTGCTCGTGTTTTAAGTGTTGTAACCAAAAAATCATCACCAATACCCATGCCAAGGAAGTTTTCTCCTATGTCTTCCTCTAGGAGTTTTATGGTTTCTGGTCTTACATTGAAATCCTTAATCCATTTCAAGTTAATTTTTATGAGTGTAAGACTCACTTTTACATGTGAATATCCAATTTTCCCAGCACCATTTGTCTTTTCTCCATTGAGTATTCTTGGCTCCCTTGCATGGGTTTATTTCTGAGCTCTCAATTCTGTCCCATTGGTCTATGTATCTTTATGCCAGTACCATACTGTTTTGATTACTATAACTTTATAATAAATGTTGCTTGAAATCAGGAAATATGATACCTCCCTTTTTCTTTTCTTTTTTTTTTTTTTTTTCCTTTCTCAGGATTGCTTTGGCTATTTGGAGTCTTTTGTGGTACCACATAAATTTGAGAATTGTTTTTTTCTATTTCCGTAAAAATATGCCATTGGAATCTTGGTAGGAATTTCGTTGAATCTATAGATGACTTTGGGTCATATGGGCATTTTAACAATATTAGTTCTTCCAATCCATGAACACAGGATACCTTTCCATTTATTTGTGTTTTCTTCAATTTTTTTCATCAGTGTCATAGTTTTCAGTGTCTAGGTCCTTTACTTCCTGGATTATATTTATTCCTAAGTATTTTATTGTTTTGATGCCGTTGTAACTGGGATTGTTTCTTTTTCAGATAATTCATTATTAACGTGTAAAATTCAACTGATTTTTGTATTAATTTTGTAACCTGCAAGTTTTCTGAATTCGTTGATTAGATCTAACAGTTTTTGTGTGGAGTCTTTAGGATTTTCTATATATAAAATCATGTCATCTGCAAAGAGAGACAATTTTACTTCCTTTCTAATGCTTTGCATTTTTTTCTTGTCTGATAGCTCTGGCTAGGACTTTCAGTATTACATTGAATAGAAGTGGTGAGAATGGGCACCCTTGTCTTGTTCCTCATCTTAGGGGAAAGGCTTTCAAATTTTCATCATTGAGTATGTCAGCTGTGGCCTTGTCGTATATGGCCTTTACTATGTTGAGGTATGTTCCTTCTGTACCTAGCTTAAGAGTTTTCATCATGAGTGGATGTTGAATTTTGTCAGATGCCTTTTCTATGTCTATTGAGATATGATCTCTTCTATTAATGTGATGTATCCCATTGACTTTGTCTGTTGAACCATCCTTGCATCCCAGGGATAAGAATGCTCTTTTTAATGTGCTGCTGAATTTGGTTTGCTAGTATTTTATTGAGAATTTTTGCCTCTCTATTCAT